AAAGACAGATTACTATAGATATATAAAAAACCATCAACTCCATAGTGGAGTTAGATTTACCCCTACCCTCAATGTCTGCAAATATTCTTGAAAGAGGTAAGGTTTGGCCAGAAGGAGAAGCTATTGCTGTTCCATCAGCAATTCAGGCAGAATTCCAGGAGCTCTGAAACATCCCCAAAATTCCAGTAAAATTTAATAGGTTGAAGGCCCTGGGCCAGGCTAAGCAAGTGAGGTATTTAAAAGTTTACAACACCTCCTGAACAGGATTTTAATCTTTACTTCCCTCCTGCTGTGCCAGATGCACATACCTTTCTCATGATCTTCCGCCCATAGAACATCACTTTGTCTCGCTTGCGAAATCTGTACTGAGGCACGTGTGGCTGAAGTTGTTCTGAAAGAGAAGCATCCCATCAGAAACCACCTGCAGCTCTCTGCCAAGGGAAACTGAACTGAGCACAGGCTGTCCATCTTGCTACCTCTATACCAGCTGTGGCTCCTGTCTGCTAAGCAGCAAGGTCTTGTGGCCAGCGTTTGGAATTTAAACCCACACTCTGGTTAGCCATGCCAGACTAGGGAAGAGCTGGCTCAAGGCTCTACCTAATCACTGAAGGAGATAAAAAGGCTCTCTAAACAGATACAAGGATTAGGTCATTTTAATCTCACAAAGAAAAGCTCTAACTCACCCATTTCTCATTACTGTAACAGTGAAATCACAGCAGGGTTGAAATTATTTGCGTGCCAATGGATACTAAGGCTATCATACACTAGAGAAATAAAAACCTCCAGCGTCCTGCATGCAACAGTTATGAATTCTATGTTCAGACCTGGGTGAGTGAATCAACACAAGGTCTTCATCCTTTTAACACTGTTTTCCTGCAAGAACCACTATCTGCACAGCAAGCAGTTATTACAAATCAGCACAGAATCTACCACGTTGTTACAAAAATACTGAAGATAACTGAGAAAACTGCTTTTAAAACATCTGCAGTTATTGAGTACTTACTGGATTGTTTCACTCTTCTGTAAACGACAAACACAACAATCGCTATAAGCAATAATACGACTGCAGCTCCAATTGCGATTCCGGTCAGCTGTAAGAGGAATTTAGGGGGGAAAGAACTTAGGAAATTCTAAAGTTGAAAAATTAAGTACTTTTTGGAGGGCTGAAGAACACTTGGCTCAGCAAGATATCTAAAAGTCAAGCGCATTCATACTTGATTTTTTAATTAAAATGTCACACATGCAGAACGTTTAAACTACATCAGTGTCTCACTCATAAGCTCACATGCAAAATATTCAGCATTTTCATAAGCTCACATGCAAGGTATTCAGCATTTTTCCCCCCAAAGATCTGTGAACCGATCAACTCAACATACACGGGATGAAATAACAGGAATTAAGTCCTGCCTCATGCACAGCAGCAGAAGAAACAAACGCTCAGAGTTTGGCTGTGACTTAACAAAGTTCCTAGAACTTAGGAGAATCTACACACTATTTACGCACACGCAATCTTTCATCCAGTTGATCAAAGCCATACATTACCATAGTAGTCTGTATTCTGTCTTCTACAAACTGAATAAGTCGTGTTCCGCCTGCTGGTAACATGACCTAGCACCAAAAGGAAGGTGAAATTAGTTTCGCACAACTGGTAAAAAGCCTCCATAAAAACATCTCAATGCCTGGTCTGGCACATACAATGCAACTTGACTGTATTTTCCAACACCTTTCTCTCAACTATATCCCGCTTCACAAACACAAGACGTGCAGTGCAGAGGGGTCGTTTGTGGAGTTCCCCATTGGTGTTGGTTCAACGCATTCCTAAGTAGCCCTAAACCAGGGTCTTTTTTTGATGATTCCATGTTAGAGAGAGCAACAAGGATGAGAATTGAACATACAGGACTTTCTGAGCCTGAGAAAATAAGTCATAAACCAGCAGATTAAATTCACCATAAAAAGAAAATTATGCACGTGGGAAAGAGATCCAACCTTAGGTCCTGGGACCTGTGCCAACTATTGTTGTTATTTAGGAAGAAAATCTGGCAGCTAGGATAGTCTCACAAAGGCCAGCTCAAAGCTTACCAGAATGGCGGGGGGGGGAGCAAACCAAACATTAGGAACAAGTAGGAAACAAATGCAGGACAAGGACAGATATATCCCCCTGTAAGCCTTGAACCTCACAAGTACTTGAATCTTAAGTCTCAGTTTTGGCCCTCAGTTTCAGATCTGGATGACCTTTTAATTTAGCTTTGCCACCAAGAGAAAAAATGAAGTGCACGCTGAGAGTCACCAGACTAGTCTCTCTCACGAACTTTGTTCCAGTTCTACAGAACAAATAAAACTCCTGCCTGACCAGTCAACTCAAAGGGATCGCTGTCTTAAGTTTGTCGTCTTAGGTTGCTTTAATGCAGCATATCCACAATTTATCTTCCCAACATTAGTCAAACTGATTCCACCGCTGGTATTATCAGACTAATATTAGTGGGATTGTAGTGGAAAGTCACAAGAATTTGAAAAAAGCAAAGTTGAAAATTAAATATATTAAATTAAATACCACAAGTTCCTGGTATAAGTCTATTGTGGCCATTTAATTTTATTTCCCCTTGACAGTGTCAGGGACACGCACAGTTCTGCCACTGTCCAGGCCTGTATGATCTCAAATAACATCGAAAATAGTAGTTGCCAACTGACAGTCGCACTACTGCTACACGAGGAGAAGGAACAAATTAGGAAGGAAAAGAATTAAAACCCACATGCGCACAGCGAGCCCTCATGCCTGAGTACAGAAAAATGACAGAAAGAAGAAATTCAGACTTCTGAGAAAAACTGAGTGGTTTGTGCCAGGTTTCTCACAAACACTGGTGAGAATTTGCCAGTCCCCCCCACACTCCGCAGGGCCTCTTTTCAAGCACTGACAATCCTTCCAGAAGAGCAAAGAAACCAAGCAGACAGGTTACAACCTTACAGACGCTCAAGACACATAACCAGTTATTGTCACATGACAGCATCTGAGACAGCTATGAGGTCACAATGAAGTCATCAATTCTATAGGGCCCTCCCATCAGCCCAAGGTTGCAGGACCTCTCCTAGGAGGGCTCCAGCCAAGCACCAAAATTCACGGACTTCACACATGTCTTACACACCCTCCAACAATTCTTGGAGACACAACACGCATGGGACAACCCTGAAAAGACCCCAACTTCATCAGGGAACAGGACAATGATGCGCTAAGCGTATGTGTCAGCATAAATAGCATTTGCCTGCTTTTTCCAATGGTGTAGAAATTTCATTAAGAAAATGAGAATTAACCATAATTCACAAAAAACATACTGCAACGTAAATAACACTCATGTTCCTCCAGAGCACCAAGCACAGAGCAAGCAGCTCTGCTGAGAGTTTAACAACCCTCACATTGCAATCAAAGGCAAACAGTGGGACATACCCCATTTCAGGAGGGGGAGAAAACATTTATCAGCGCCGAAAGCAAGCCCTTAAAGTTAGGATTGCCCAAAACATCCGCCTTCCTTGTAGCTCATAAGCACATGGGCCTGCATGCCTACGCTTGGACTACAAACACTGGATCTTCACAGAACATTTTTAACTGCGTACTAGTAGGTTCTATATATTTTTTACTTCTGAGAAGAACTATTCCTTATGATGGGCCTTGCCTTTCATTACTATGAAAAGCACTACATGCCTTGCTGGCCTATGAATTTCAGATTTATAATTAAGAACAAACACAAGAAGAGCTAACTGCCAGAGAACCCTGCAATTCTTCCATCTTTAGGCTAAAAAAAGTTCTGTTGAAGCAAAAAGTCCTTAAATCGTGTCATTCTGCTTGGAATATGAAGCAGAGTATGAATGGCTTGAATAAAAAAAAAAAAAAATTAAAAAATTAATAAAGACACACATTAAAAACTTAAAATTTTTGGATGGATAAAGATTTTATGAGGAAAGGTTCTTTCAAAGTAGAAGCACTACACCTAAAGACATTACCCAAATGTTATCAAGTTTGGTACAGTAGCTTTCAGCTTCTGGAAATACTAATAGGGAAATAAATACGACAAAAAATAACAGCAAAGCATACTGTACCTCAGAGCTGGTGCCGTTGCCTTCTTCATCCATGTCTGGAGGTACTGCAGGAGCAAAAATTAAAGAGAGAAGACCAAGTTAAAAGGGGATGGCGCTCTCAAATCCAAAGTCTTTTTAACTCGGCAGCGCAAAGCGTCCCCAGAACGGCTCTTCCCGTTTGGCAGAACAAGTCGAGTCAAGGGGCACAACGTTATTTTTTCACTTCACCGTCCCCGGGCTGAGCAGCAAACCCCAGCGAGCCTTGGG